GAAAGCGGTGCTTTAGTAATGCCTTCAGGACTAAGCCGCTTGATATTTCAGGTGATCTAATTTTCTTGCTGCTTTGCAAAAATCTCTAACACCATCTTATTCAAGGAAACAAATGAGGACTCAGTCCTGCAAAGATTTCTTCCCATGCATGGCCCTGTACACATTCAGGAGACAGACAGACATTAGGGCCCTGCTCTAACTCATGGCACTTTACATGAGTTAGAGCCAAGAGTTAGAGATCTAACTCTTCTCTACTAACTCCCACCCCTCCAACCCAACAGAGGTTTGCCTATTGGGTTGGGGAAGGGGCTAGAGCCAGCCTTCACTGGCCCTGGCCAGCAGGTGGGGGCACTCCAGCAGAACTCTGAGGAAGGTGCTGAAGTACCCCTTTCCCCTGCTGCCTGTCTCTCCCCCAGCTCCAGGGCTGTCAGTCAGGGGGGGAAGGGGGAAGGGGAGGAGCTACCAGCTGCTGAATGGCCAGAGCTGGTGGGGGTGTGTGGAAACCCTTACCTCATCCCCCACAGCTACCCCCAATACCCCAGCCAGGGTAGCTGGGGGAGGCAAAGTGAGGGGCTTCATTCCCTGCCCACTGCCCCTCAGCTCTGGCTATTCAGCAGCCAGGAGCTCCCTCCCTTTTCCCCTCCTTCCCACCTGACAGCCTGGGGGAGGGGCTAGGCTGGCAGCATCAGCCCAGCCTAGCCCCACTTTCCACATGAAAAATTAACCCTGGAGGGAACACAAGTTCCCTAAGGTGCTCTGCTTTCGAGTGCATTAATGTAATACCAGATTTGACCAGAGTTTATTTTTCACATGATTGGCCATTTTAAAAGTGCTCTGCAGTCATGCACGTGAGTTATTACATGACTGTAGCGCACTTTCAGAGGCCTGATAGCTTGAAATATGTCACTTCTGTCTGTACCTTCAGTCTCCAGTGGGTTTGCAACTCAGGGCAATTTGGCCCCATCCATAGATTTACTTAACAGCACCTTTCATGCCATCCATTGCTCTCCATTTCCCAGAAATACATTCCATGAGCCTGTGAATAAATAGTGTTACTCACCAAGTGAATTGCCAAAAACCCAACAACCTTTGTCCCTCTCTAATACACATTTTTAAAGGATAATGCAGTTACTGACCTAGGTATATGGGTAATACCATGTGCACACACAATGAGCCAAGGAACCAGACAGGTCTTTGCCTATATACCTAGTCACTGATCTGTGATCCAGGTTCTGCAAGTGATATATCTACTGCTGAAAGAACAGAGGAAAAATTCCACAAGAAAATCTTTGCAAGGTGATCTGACTCTCTGGTAGGGTTGCAGTGATAGGTGCAGATGTTCAATCAAAGCTAATGATGGTGCCATAGACCGTGTGTAGATGAAA